AGAACTGATTTCTAAGGATGATTTTAATTTTGCTAAGTAAGCTCTTTTTTCTTGAGGATCACTGATTGAATCTATGACTTCGAACAAAAGATCTTGTTCTTTAGTCAGGACATTAATTTCCTGCGAGGATTGTGAATCCTCACTAGAAGATAAATCATCTTCATGGATTTGATTTAAGTCTTCAGAAGATTCTTTTCCAGATTCTTCATCAGAGGATTGGATTAAAAGATTATTGATTTGTTCTTCAATAGATGGATCTAAGTTTAGGTTATTTAGTTTCTTTTTAAGCCTACAATATTTACTAATATGTCCAGGTTTACCACAGCTATAGCAAATAGTTGGCTTAATTGGTTTGGATGTATTTTGTGATCTATTTGTTTCAATATTTGGCTTAGATTTTCATTTTTAAACCTTTTATTGTAATTAGGTTTCTTACGAAAATTCCTAAAAGTTTTAACCTATTTTTTTCCTGTTTTTTAGGTTTTGTAGTATAAGGTAGACCAAATTGTTCACAAAATGATCCTAGATCTTTACGATTTTGCGTCTTTTCTTTTGCAAGTTGACGTTGGATTTTATCATCTTGACAGATTTTTAAAGCTACCTTTGGGATATAAGCAACTAATTGTCCATAACTTATTTGCTCATAAGGAATATCTCTAGTTGGAGATTGATGACGAATTTTATCCCTAACTTTGTCTCCTAAAGATTTTGGAAGACCAGCTAAGAATTTTTCTTTCCAGAAAGGTTGTTGACTATCATCTCTAGTGTAAAAAACACTAGTAAAGAAGGTATCTTTATACCAACGAAAGTCAGCTAAGGTTCTACATTTAAGATTGGATACGAGTTCAACAGAACGATCTTTCCATAAAGATGGATCACCAATGAAATGTTGGATAATGGTGAAGATTAATTGATTAACAGCATCTGGAATAGTTTTTCCATCAGAGATTATTGGAATGCCATCAAGATCAATTTTAACAGCATCCAGAACTGAATTTTTTTTTTTCATCTTCAGAAAGATAATTATCCCACCATCCTTTGAGTTGACCAGAAAAGCCAGAGACAATAATATTGACAATGATTCCTTCGAACAGTTATGAGAAGTCTGATGGTAGTTGCAACCATAGTCATATGGTGCAGAGTATTGAGTATATATATATGGGGAGGGATCTTTTGACTCTAGAGTAAGACTTACAACTCTTACTCTCCATCTCAACCGTTGATTTCCTTCCATCTAACGGTTACTATTTATTTGAAATAATTAATTAATTAATTGTTATAGATAAATGTTAGATGGACGGAAATCAACGGTTGAGATGAGGAGTAAGAGTTGTAAGTCTTACTCTAGAGTCAAAATATCCCTCCCTAGACACACACACACACACACACACACATATATATTTATGGAGGATTTTTTTGACTCCAGAATAAGATTTAGAAGTCTTACTCCCCATCTTAGTCATTGATGGACGGAAATCAACGGTTGTTATTTATAGTATAATTAATAATTAATTAATATGATTTCCTAAACTATAATCGATAAATGGGCGTAAATCAATAGTTAAGATGGAGAGTAAGACTTATAAGTGTTGTAAACCTTACTCTGGAGTCAAAATATTTCTATATATATATATATATATATATATATATATATATATATATATAATTGGAACGGTGATTACATTCTGAAATTTTGATGAGGGTGTAGTTATGAAGGTTCTACGTTGACATCTCAAATTCAAATCAAGTTAGTAGTTACAAGTTAGGAGTTAGGAGTTCTCCTAAATACAGAGGCCGATGTGGCAGTGTCCCCTTGAATTGTCCAAAAAGAGACTTAATTTTGACAGATGAAAAAAAAACCCTCAATAATTTAGTTTCGTAAATCATAAAGGATCTTTTCACTCCCCGTCGATTTTCATGAAACTGACGGTTATATTTATAATTTATTAAATTATATTTATTAATGTTTACCCAAAAAAAAATTATATTCATTAATTAATTATTTGTCTCTAATAAATTATAGCTATCAGATATACGGAAAATCCACTCCTCATACGTGAAGTAAGTTTCTTATTCCTACACCAGAATCAGAAGATCCCTACTTTAATTTTAATAAGATTTAAAAATATTTATACAAAAGATAGATAAAAATAAATTTAAAAGATTCCAAGAAAAATAGTTTAGTGCAGCTAATATATAGGTGCCAACTTAACCAAATAGTACAAGATAAATAAAATATTGTTAAAATGTCCAAGTGTAAAAGGATAGGGGATATTTTCGAGCCACCTTGTGTGTCTCATTCCTTGTTGGCCGACCAAAGTGAGAATAGGCATATGACAAACACATGAGACCAATGAAAAGGAGAAGAGAAGATTAATTGCTCATTATGTCAAGTAACCGGCCATAAGTAAATGTGCGTATGTAATGTGTATGAGGCCGGCTAGGTACTCATTTGCAATTTGCAGTTATTGGCTTGAATTATTAATTTCAACAACATGGCTATCACCCATTATGTCTCTTTTCCTCTTTTTCATTATACTCTCTTTGATTTTTCAGTCATTACCTTTTCACTCACCAATTTATAATAATTCAGTAAATTAAGTTAAAAATTGAATGGAGGCTGTATATATAATAAATACCTAAAACAAAGGGGTAAAGTAGTGATGGGCTATATACATGGATGTTATTAGATTCCCCTCCCCCTCCCCTCTTTTTTAAGTCACATTTAATATGAAAGGAGTCTTCTATGACTTTATAACTTGGGCATAGATTGTTAATAGTTATTCAATTTTAGAAAGATAGATAGACAATTTTATTTTTTGGCTTATTTGTGTGAATTATTACTTGATAGGAGATAACCTCTATTTTTTTATTCTAAACCCCTCTCTCACAGATGAATGCGTAACTTAAAATGAAATATGACTTCGTCAAAAATATAATGTGTGACATTTCTACCAATGTACTTTCTGAATAAAAATTAAAACTCAGCTTCCTTTACGGCTTGATTATGGCAACATGCAGCACTTTCCTCTTTTGGGGTGAACAGGGGAAGGGCCAAGCATCAACAACCTATTTGTAATTTTTTTTTTTTTTTATAGAACTAGTGGGGACATGAATTCTGCTTCCCCTAGACTCGTAGAAGCAACAACACACAGAGTGACATTGACACATTATTGAAACATGGTGTCTTAAATTGGAGTAGTGGAAAATGGGACCTAGTTTATAACTAGTGTTGATATTTTTTTATTTTTTTTTTATAACCTATTCGAGTTGGGAATATTCACTTTATGGTAGGGCTAATTCTTCTAAAGGAATTTTTTTTTCATTCACAATGACTTGAACTCAATATCTTACTTAAATAGAAGGGGTGGCAATTCGGGTCAACACAACCCAACACGACACGACACATCTCGACACGAATACACTAAACCTGAACACGACATACAAATTTGAAGTCGGGTAAAACCTTCGGCCCAAATCCGACATTTTTTTTTTAGGTTGACACGACACAACACGAATAACTATATACCTTGCCACCCCTGAGGAGAGAATTAAATATGTACTACTTGAAACCAATCCTTTTTTTTGGGGAAAAATGTTTGTCATTTTAAATGACACAAAGTTGTGTCATTTTAATGAAACTACGTCGTTTTGGTGTGTTTTTACATTCTCTCTCCTCCATTTTCTTTGTATTTCTAATTTTATAAATTAGAAAAAATGATAAAACACACCAAAACGACGTAGTTTCATTAAAAATGACACAACTTTGTATTATTTAAAATGACAAACACTAACTTTTTTTTATTAGTATTCATATTTCTTTAGATCAACGCTATACGTCGTGACTTGTTACAAATTATTACATGATTTTTTCCAAATAAAAAATTACTACACGATCAGTTTCAAGTTGGACAAAAGAAGAGGGATAACCTATGTAAAGCTTCATTGAATCTTCATGGCATTGACAAATAATATAATCGGGTTGACGTTAGGTTACTACTTTTGACAGAATACATAAAATAGTTTCGTTGGATTGATATAACCGATCCTACGTGGTGGAAAAAAATGGCTTTTGTTGTTCTTTTATGGTTTAAGCTTTTTAGTTAGTATCCTCTAAGAAACATCTTAGACCCTGGGTAAGGTTTTTTATTTTTAGGATAGAACTAGTGATGAAGGGTTTGAATAGTTTATAAGAAATTGTAAATTTAATATTAATAATTTCATTTAAAAAATACATAAATAAATTCTATTTCATGAACAAATTGGGGGGGGGGGGGGGGGGGTTGGGGGAAATTGAGACATGCTCCAGCGAATATTGTATTGTTTTGAAAGAATTGACCATTTCTACTTAGAGATTTGTACGTTGTTCGCGTCAGTGCGGCAAAGCCTCGTGTTTAATAGGATTCTTCTTATAGATGACAAACAACTAGCAATCCATAGCATAATGAACTTTTTACCAAACACAAAATTATAAAATAGGGTTTGGTAAAAAGTGTGTAAGACTCGTATGGAGACATGTGAAGAGAAAAGAGAAAAAAAAAATATGGACCTTACTCACTCTTTTGAAGATAAAAGTATCTCGATATTAAACCCTATAAAATAAGGAAAAGAAAACAATCAGGATGGTCTTGCTGAACTGGTAATTCTTAAACAAGGCTAATTGGGTGTAAGGATTACCCTCATTTCTATCCTTGCTAGTTGGGGAGTATTTATTTATTTATTTATGTGTATTAAATTATAAAATATATAGAATCAAGTTTTACAACCAGGCTAAGAGAATCTAGGTATCATTCTTCGATAATACCATTGTGGAATGTTTATTTTGAAATACGGAAGCTAATTTTGAAGCATTAAAATACAAATAGTATCCTGTCCCTGTAGATTTAAATAGGGACGCTGGTTTATGTGCAAATGGTGACTAAGGTCATAAATCACTCTTATCCTTCACACTCTTTTCTTCCAGGCTTCAGGAACCTTAGGTAGCAATGGAAGACATAAACATGTGGCTATCCTTCTATATGGATGTTAGTGTCAACCATGACTCTGCCATCCGAAGGTTCTGCCCTGAAAGAATGGAGCATGAGCAAGGAGGAGAGTGGCAAGACCAAGAGGTAGTACTTAATGAGATTGAATTATGTTCTTCTGATGCTACCAGCACTCCTTGTTTGGCTTCTTCAGAAGTTGATGATTTTGTTGATAGCTTCATCAACATGGATCAGTATGAGTATGACAATGTAGATCAAGAGTCCCAAGAGAAGCATCAAAATTTTGATCACTTTGTGGTGAATGATGAAGATGAGGCTGATGCATACTCCGTGGTGAATGACATCTTTGGATATGTTCCAACCACAACCATGGTGGATGTAGAATTGGAGATCTATGAGAATGTCACAATGCCCATCTCGGACGAGGAGGAAGTTGAAATGAGTGGCTCTTATGGTGCTGCTATACCTGAGTTTGTGCCTTGTGTAGAAGAGACTAGCCTTGGTATGGACCAAGGGCTACACTTGGTTCACATGCTGTTGGCATGTGCTGAGTCTGTGGGCTGCAGAGACACCCAACAAACAGAGTTGTTGCTTAGCAGCATTTGGGCTTTGGCAAGTCCTTCTGGAGATTCATTGCAAAGAGTGTCCTACTGTTTTGCCACAGGATTGAAATGTAGGTTGTCACTTCATCCTCATAATGTCATTGCAAATGGTTCGCTCAAAAGTACTCCTACTATGGATGTCCCTTTGATCACTAGGGAGAATAAGTTAGAAGCTTTTCATCTCCTTTACCAAACCACACCTTACATTGCTTTTGGTTTCATGGCTGCAAATGAAGCTATATGCCAAGGGTCACAAGGAAAAGGCTACATACACATAATTGATTTAGGAATGGAGCATACCCTTCAGTGGCCTTCCCTTATTAGGGCCCTTGCGTCAAGGCCTGAGGGGCCTCCAAAACTTAGAATCACAGGATTAATGAACAATGAAGACAACCCTAAACTTCAAACTAGCATGAATTTGCTTGTGGAGGAAGCAAGCTCATTGGGAATACCTCTTGAATTCCACATAATATCAGAGCCTGCAACTCCACCTCTTCTTACTAAGGAGAAGCTAAACTTGAGAGAAGGTGAAGCTTTGTTTGTTAATAGTATCTTGCTGTTGCACAAATATGTCAAAGAAAGTAGAGGCTATCTTAAGGCAATTCTCCAATCAATAAAGAAGCTTGGACCAATTGCAGTTACAGTGATAGAGCAAGACACAAACCATAATGGTCCTTTCTTCCTTGGAAGATTTTTGGAATCACTGCACTATTACTCAGCAATATTTGATTCTCTTGAGGCTAGTATGCCAAGAAATAGCCAACAAAGGATGAAAATAGAGAGATTGCACTTTGCTGAGGAAATTCTTAATATTGTAGCTTACGAGGGTCCAGATAGAATGGAAAGACATGAAAGGGTAGATCAATGGAGAAGACAATTAGCACGAGCAGGATTTCAGGTAATGCCACTGAAATGCACAAGCCAAGCTAGAATGATGCTTTCTGTTTATGACTGTGATGGATATACATTGTCCAATGAGAAGGGTATCCTTCTACTTGGGTGGAAAGGAAGGCCAGTAATGATGGCTTCTGCATGGCAAGTGGCAAGTGTGTAATATGCCCTCTTAGATATTTGGAAGAAACATGGAGTAGAATGATCATGCACTTATTTATTGCCATAATTTATTTCTTTAATATTTAATTCCAGTAAATCAATCAAATTCTGCCTAGTCATCTGCATATTCCCTTATTAAAGATATGAAATTTTCCAAATATGTTCTTCATTAGCTATTTATGATTGTATTTCTTGACCATGTCATTCACTCCTAAAATTGATATGGGGTGCTGTTAGGATATGGACTGTCATTTTTAAACCATACTATATAAAGCAAGGAAAATTGATATGAACCTCAAGAGAAGTGGGTGGATTGGATCGTCTAGGAATAAAATTTATGTTGAAAATTCAGCCTCCAAAATATCTTGTTAGCAATCGATCATATATCAAGCTACTAATCTCGGAATTGAGCGATTCCTATGTTTGAAACGCAAAAAAGGCCAAGCATTTCGTGAGATATGGTGTGAGATAATTGGGATGAAAATTGAAGGATTTAGGGGTTAGGATTTGACTCTGTTTGGTTTTGTGAACGAAATTAAACTAGAAACCAGAACTAGAAGGCGCTACAATCTAAGGATTGATAAGTCCATGAATGTCACAAGGATAAAAATCCTTGATAAGTTCAACGATTCTCAAAAGAACCGAACTAGTCTCACCAAAAAGGTTAACTTGATAATTCAAATCTGCATCTAAAAGCTATGGTATACCCTTTTATAGTGGGCAGCAACCATAATGAATTCAAATCAAAATTTCTTGCACACAGAATAAACAAAACAGCCCAAAAGTCTTATTACAAAAATTATCTAAATGTAAGATAAAAAAGACAAAACTAATTGCAGAATTTGGGCAAGTACAACACATCCTTCTTGCTCTTAATTCTTCAACAACTTGGATGTTAACTTAAGCCCAATTTGCATGTCCAACAAGGCTTATTCTTTAATCTGAATTAAGTGTACCATTTTGATCTCTTTTTCCTTTAGATTTGGGCTTGTATCAAGTCAAATGAATAAGTGATTTAGAGCCTCTTTAGCTTTTTAGCTTTTGCTCTTGTCATTGGCCTCCCAGGCCTCGTATGCCCTTCATGTTGTCTGCTTTGGTCATGCCACCTCCTATGTCTGCATTATTCCCTCCTTCTTGAGAGAAATTTTCCCTCAAATTGTAGTCCTCTTCTCCTACATCAAAAGGGGACAAATCAGCCACATTAAAAATAGCCCTTACACCATACACACCAGGGAGGTCTATTTTGTAGGCATTATCATTAATTTTGAATAGCACTTGGAAAAGGGTCGTCTCCTCTTGGTTGAAGTTTATATTTTCTTTGGGAAGGAAACCTCTCTTATTGTAGATGAACCCAAACCCAATCACCTGGTTCAAACACAACTTTCTTCCTTCCTTTATTAGCTTTGTCTAGTATAGCTCTCTACTTTTTTTTTCAATTTGTGCCTTTACATTGTAATTTTTGAACATATTCAGCCTTAGTCTTTCCATTATTATGCTTCAAAACAGAGCTGTTAGGCAAAGGTAGCAAATTAAGAGAAGTGAGAGGGTTAAAGTCATGAAAGCTTCTTACCTCACTTACATTCTAAGGAGTAGTTGGCCACTCTTTAATAGCTTTCACCTTCTCATGATCAACCTGCACTCCTTTTGAGCTAACAACAAAACCAATAAAAACTACATGGTCCATACATAATACATTTTTCCACGTTAGCATAAATTTCTCACGCCTTAAAGCTTTTAAAACACACCTCAAATGAACAAGATGATCATCATAAGATTTGCTATAAATTAAAATATCATCAAAATAAACTACAACAATTTTCCTAGAAATACCCTTAACACAAGATTCATTAATCTCATGAAGGTACTAGGAGCATTGGTTAAACCCTTCTCTAATCCTAATTTGATGATATCCAATTTTTAGATCAATTTTAGAGAAGACATAAGCACCATGCAATTCATCCAATAAATTGAAAAGAAAAAAGATGGCTAAACAATCATACAAGAGGGGGGTGAATTGTGTATTACTTCTTTAGCAAGAAACAATAAAAAACATCATTTTTGATGAATTTCAACCAAAACGAATTTAAACAGATATCAAACTTTTTCCAACCCAAAAATAAAATTAGAAAATATCAAATAACATCCAATTCAGAGATTAAACAGCGAAATCAAAATTAGAAGGGAAAAGAGATGAAATTCAATGTAATTCAATACCCTTTTCAAGAACAATACTAAAAAATGCATTTTTTCGACGGAAAAATTCCGTCGAAAATAGTTAAAATTCCATTGAAAATGAAGTTTTCGACGAAAATTAAGCCGTCGAGTATCTCTTCGTTACTAACAAATTTTCGACGGTATTAGAGATTCCGTTGAAAATTTCCGACAGAAAACCAATGAAATTTAGTCGAAAATTATGGAAAAAGTTTTCGATGAAAAATATATTCCGTCGAAATTTTTTGACGAAAAATCAATAAATTTCAGTTGAAAACTGATGTAAAAATTTTCGACACAAAACAAATTCTGTCGAAAAATTTTAGAATTTACTTTTAAAATTTCTCTCTACAAAATTAATACCAATTTTCTATACTACACCTGATAAAAAATATAATCAAAATAAACAACATATCAAAATCAAATCACCTTAATCAAAATCAAATCTCCTTAATCAATACAATAAAATCAAATCTCATTAATCGAAAAGCCTGTATGTATTGCAATAACTTAGGATGTTTTGTTGTCTTGTGTATTTTCTCTATTGGGTTTTGCTATGATGATGCATATGTGACCACATTGTGTGGACCTGATCAATTCATTCTTTGTGTAACTTGTGCAGAGTCATGGTATTACCGCGGAGAAATCGTGAGATGACTGAGGGTCAACCCGACCCGGTCCTGACTGCATTAGCTGAGACGCAGGCAGCTAGACTAGCCGATCAGGAGGCCGCTAGATTGGCCAACTTGGCAATGATGGATGTAACACCCCGTGTATACCCGGTTTGTTAACATATCATCGTATTAAGTTGCGCTTAATTAAAAATGCGGAATATCTTTTTCTTTTCAATTATGACGTCATTATACTTATCCAAGTTGATTACTTAATCATTTTCATAAAATTTCTCCTGTATGTAAATTGCAAATAAACATCTAACTGAAATACCTCATAACATAGATAATGTGAGTATCTAAAATCACGGATCTACAACACGTAGTCCGGACAATATCCTGATATATTATTACAACTCCAAATAAAACAAGACAATAATCAAGTCTATGTGGCATGGACAATCCCCATGCTCACCAAATCAACAGCATAACCACAGAGTCTCAACAGAGGAATCCATAAACTGAATCTAAAAGCATAAGACAGTAAATAGGATCCAACATCCAATCATAACAGCATATCATAAGCAGCATAAACATGTATCATGTATCAGCTAAGCTCTGGCCTCCTGCCACTAGAGGTCTCAACCCTCGCATTACCTGAACCTGAAATAAGCATTCTCCAAACGTGGGGTGAGATCTCTAAACCAGAAATCTCAGTAAGGCAAGGGGTCCTCAAGGATCTTCCACCCCAAGCTCACTTACATGTGCAATATAAGTTCAAAAGCAGTAATTTAATATAATCTCCAAAACTATGCAGTGCAACAGATATTCATGCCATGTGTGTCAATACTATTCTACTGGCCAGAGAAATGCAGGAATACGTTTATTACCTACAGATAGTACAAGGAACATCGGTTGCACCTCACCCACAGCCTCACCATATTGTATGTACTACATACTCAGGCTTACCGTATAGATGGAACACCACATGCATATCATAAAGGCACTAGCATATAACAGCTCAGTAGCATTTCCAAAATATCAAAAGCATGTAACACAGCATGCATATAACCATACCCCCATGGGACATGGTGGAACCACAACATGGCTAAACCGAGGACACGAAAGCTTACCTTGCCAGCTCACTATCCAATGCCAAGAGTCCACACAGCTCAAGTCCAACACAGAGCAGATCACAATCTGATTAGGACCAGCAAGCATATCAACACTCATAGCTCAAGCATAAACATAAAGACTACGTTTTCCTCTTACAATTTATGTCTTAAGGCTTCACACAAAGCCATAAGCCCTTAACCACTTGATTCTGACTTAGTTCAATTAAAACAGAAGTTCAACTTCATTAATCTAGGGTCTACAAACCCCCATTAGCCTACTGAATGAACAGTGCAGCTACTGTCCTTCGAAATCCCAGGATATCTGGATATATGTCGGGGGAATATCCGGATATCCAGATCCCCATATCCGGATATCAATATCCGGATACACATATCCGGATATTTCGCGACAGACAGCAGCTTCTGCATTCGCGAAGATATCATCCAAAGGTTGGGTTTTTAACCCAATGTAACGTCCAAGCATGCATCTTTATACAATTTTAGGTTCATGTTAAGGTTAGTTACTTGTTTAACCCATTAACATACCAAGACTTCATCTTTAAGCATAAAACACCAACAGCTCCTCAAACTCAGACCAAGAAGGAGTACGAAAATGGACCAACAAAGTTTGGTTCTTGCACCCAAAAGTTATTCCTTGGACCTCACAATGCCATGACAATGGCTTCCACCACTCAACTCCCAAACCAGCCCTCAAAATCCAACCAAAACAGAGGCCACAACTCAGAAAAGGTTACCTCTTCCCCTCACAAAGATGCTCACTAGTGTTTACCAAGGGAAAGGAGAGAAAAATCAAGCAAAAGATATCACTTTGGCTCAAAGAAAGAGGAAGGAGAGGTGGTGGCTGATGAAGGCAGCAGCTCCAGCAAAATGGGTCACGTAGGATGGCACAAATGACCTAGGATCATGTGCCCTCTAGCTATATAAAGCCCTCTTAAGCCTTAAACACACAGTATTAACTTTAATTGCTACGCTTAGCATTTTAATCCAAAACTTAGGATTCTTAACCTACTCAATTTTACAAGAATTATCATATTTTTATTATA